AGGAATGTTTCAGCTTTTGCTGAAAACTGGTTGCACAGTATCAAGGCCTTTTCTGTATTTGTCTCTTCACCCTGAGTAGGCTGGGGCTGGGAAAGATGTTTGGAAATGATCGAGCTGGGATAGTTGACCAGATTTGACCATGTAATGTCGTGCTCACCAATAAGCCCTATGAATTGGTCTTTCCAGAGTAGTTGTTGTTTGTTGATTTACTGGGCATTAGTCTGTTGCTGTGTGATGGCGACTGACTGACTTTACATCACTTGTTTTTTTCTTTCTCTTTTCAGTCCTCCAATTCTCACCCCAGTCCCACTGGAATCATAGAAGGGAAGTGAATGAGTAGCTGGTGGGTGCTTAGTTACTGCCCAGGGTCAACCCAATACAAAGACATTTCAAGCTTTGCTAGTACCGGACTGCCTATGTAACTCTCACCTGTACCCCCAGCCTCCTTCCTTCTCCAGTTCCCAGAATGACTTCTGAATTATCACAGAAGTATCACAGGATTTAACATAGCTAACATGGTCTTGTGCAAAGCATCTTTACCATTCACAGTTTAAACAATACTGCCCATCTATCATTGTTTCTGATGTGAGGTTCTGAAAACAGATGGACCATTTTGTAGCCCTCCTGCTCAAGCCAGTTCTTCTACTCTTACCCATAAATCACTATAAACCATTTGCTCAGCAACTAGACTGTCATGAAAGCTGTAAATTACCTGACTTCTCCAATGCAACTACAGACTTCAGCAACTTGCTGAAAATACGCAAGCTTGGAGACAGCAAATTTCCCAAAAGGCTGATTAAGGAAATGTTTAATGGAGCTAGCATAAATACACCTCCAATGAAACAGTCCTTGTAAGATAAAGCAGGAACCTACTACATTACATATTCAGTCCACAGGAAATATTTTTTTTCTTTAAATATACCTACAACTTCAGCATTTCTGTGAAACAGCCTTACTGGGAGTAATTCTTAGTATTCCTGTGTACTTGAGACCTCCTCCTCCAAGCTACCATGTCACCACCAAGTATCCCATATCAGGAGTTTTTCCGAAAGCAAACATTAAAAAGTAGTCCACCAAGTGTCATCTGCGTGGCAACATAAAAATGCCACCTATGACATTTCATGCCTCTTACCTGCTTTAACTGAGACACAACTGCATTTGTTTGTACTCACTTACTTAGCTGCAACTCATGTAACTGCTGCAGTAAATAAGTCAGTTCCAAGACGGTTCAACTAAAGGGACTAAACACAATGCAATCTCATCACATTTTACAGCTCCATTTCTTCTGCAAAGTAACAGATATATTTCAGAAGTAATATGAACAGAGTGTATCATAACTAACAGAGGTATTTCAGAACAGTTTCTAGATCTGCTTCTTGACTTAAAGGTATAGCACAGCATCACCATGCGTTAAGATGTGTGTGACTATGTAAAAGTCCTCAGCACAAACTTTTGGTGTACAGAGGAAATGAATTGTGAAAAGAAGACAAAAATGAAATTCTGGTTATAGGCTAGCTTTTACATCTTTTTGCTTAGTTTGTATAATTACAGTAAGGCAGATCCCCAGGAAGGATTGAAAATATTTAACATTGAACAGCTAGTCAGGACAAGGAAATAATGAAATTAAAGTGACACTGAGTATCTTCCAAGTAACACAGTCTGGTAGCATAGGTGGACAGACACAACCAGCTCTTCAGTCTGGAATTAACTGGCTTAAACACCCATGTGTGCCTCCTTTCCTCTCATACTGGTAGTTCTAACAAGACATGTCTTCCTTACTCAACCAGCTTTGCTTATTGCCTTCCAAACAAACATATGCAACATTTCCATAATTTATTCAAGAGATTTTATATACATATACAAACTTATGGACATCTATGTGCATATATGTACATGCAAATATATACAAATATTCATGTTATTTTTATATATAAATTCTTTTTTTAAAAAAACTTGACTAGGCCATTGGTTTTAGAATAAAATTCTTAATGACCAGGATTGTTCACAAAGACAATTATTTCTTCCTGGCAGTTACCCAAAAGAGCACATTAGCTGACCCGAGCCTGGTCACTTTGCTTTTTGATCAAAGTCACAGTTATTCTCAGACTACGGGCAGAATGGACTTGTGTTTACCTGCTGAAAGTTGTGCAGACTTGCGGCTTCCAGTCGGTTCCAAACACAGTGGGTCCCCTCCCCCTCCAAAAATGATAATGCTAAAAATTCTGTTTAATGTAACTTTTTCATCTGTCAAAGTTGTCTGCAACTCTAGTTCCCTTCTGCATATTCCTTTCTTTTAGATTCCTGGGGTCACAAGTTGCTGCTGCTGCTTCTTTTAACTACAGGAAGTTTGCAGGGCTATTAATGGTAACCATAAAAGGTCTGATGAAACGGTAATGTTTCATTTTTTTTTCAACATCTTTATGTTTTGTACAGTAAAGAGCACACCAGTAAAAGAAAATAAATGAGTCTGAATAATACATTATTTTCTTCAAGACAAACCTCTTAGCCAGAACAGAGTGAAGTCTCTATAAAACACAAAATCTTAAACTTAAAAGTTAACGGATTCAGGGAGCTACTGAAATCACTTGGCTCACAAAGGATCTTAAAGAAAAGATGATTTAGTTCCTACCTCCTTGCATGGGCAGGGACACCTCCCACTAGAACAGGTTACTCAAAGCCCCAACCTGGCCTTGAACACTTCTAGGGAGGTGACATCCAGAACTTCTCCAGACAACCAGAAGCTCTGCTCTGCATGGTATCCTGCAGGACTCAAATACAGATCTGGTGTTGGCTACCATAGAATCTGTGTTTCTAAAGCAGTTCAGTTTTGGACAGATATTCCACAATAAATGGAAGATGGATGCAAAGAGTAGCAAAATATGGCACAACACTGAAAGCTGCTCAGAAGTTCAGCGGATTAGCAGTCTTCCCAAAGAGAATTAGTATGGGAAGAGGTTAGATGAAATGGGCACTGGATCCAGTTCCATCTGCTAAGCACTGCCATACCCATTTCAGACCAGCAGAATCTTTCCAAGCCAAACAGGTATGCATGACCACTACAGCTGAGGAGCACTAATGCTTTTTCTGTTTTCCATTTTTCTAGGGCATATCAAGAGATAGCTTTCCACCTTCACATCCAATTTCTTCTATTTCCCATGTCATTCAGCATAACAGCTTTATGGCTACCCAGACATGCCTGCCTTGGTGTTTTTGTTTTGTTTGTTGTTGGCTGCTTTTTTTTAGAAAAAAAAAAAAAGACTACCACAGTTTTCCATTGAATAATAAATTACACTGATTCCTTTGAGATGTAACAAAAAAGGATCTAAC